AAATAATGATGGTGACGTTTTTATTAACTATCACTGGAGAATGATTTATTTTGATATTTTAGTCCTTTACACTTAAACCAAGAGTTATTCATTGGAGCAAGCCTCGTTCTATATGTGCAGAGTCAGATGAGATGAAGTGGATTAAGAACAGAGGATGAGAATTATTGCTGTTATCATGCGGTCTCCGCTGCTGTGTCACTGTCTGAAGAAGGGTTTACATATTGCAAAATCATTTGAGAAAAAAAGAGGAAGATAATGTGCTCTGCAGCAGTTCACATGCAGGGAGCACACTGATTAATACACATACTTTTTATTGTGCAAACAGACTCATGTTTCCAGTCAAAACAGACAAACCACACTATATGGTCAACTATATGAGCAATCAGTCAGTGTCAGTGAACAATTGGTTGCACACGGTTTTAAATCTCTACCTTTTCACAGCAGCCAATTTCACACAAAACAAGGTAAACACAGTGTCGATTAATGTGCATGGTCCCTGGTAAATTAACAAATAAATAAATCCAACATGCCTGTCTCCACCTCCAGGAGAAAGGCAGTTATTTTTGCTATTCGCCAGATCTGTAAAGTTGCTGCAGAGCCGTCATTAGCCTGTGCACCATCCCTGTTTTGTGTATGTAATACATGTTTCCAACTCACATTGTGGTAAAAAAAAACAGCTGACCATTCCCCAATCCCCGCTCCCCATCGATAGGCCTGTCGAGTCTTCCATTCTCCACATCTCATGTGCACTTCACAAGGATAAATGAATCCGTAGATGCAGATGATTTGCATATGAATGACAGAAAACAGTGGGACCTCTTTTGCTCTCTATATGTATCTGCACCTGAATGACTCCCTACAGCTGCTGCATGCTTTTCAATGACACTGTTAAATATATCAAATACTTATATACAACCTTTTATCATATCATTAGCATGTCAGTAGACACAGAAGAAGAAATGGCACTGGTATGTATATGACCTCTGCATATGTTTTTACCAATCGTGGCTGATAATAATGCGCTCTTGCGTATGGCCAGAGCTTAGTTCCCTGTTTTTTGAGAGATGACAAGACGATTAGCTGTATATAAGGAGTGGTTTTCATCTTCTTCGATGCCTCCACTCAGGTCAGCTGAAGCGACACACACTGGGACGGAAGAAGAGAAGTTAATTCTGCAGCAGGTTTGCTATAAACTCTCTGATCCCCCTCTGACCTTTCTCAGCACGCTCCCTGTCAGTAACACGCCTGTCTCTCTTTGTATTCTAGCGAATCATCATCTTTAGCATCTGCATCAGCTCCAACATGAAGATGCTGACTGTGTCCGCACTTGTTTGTGCCATGATGGCCCTGACTAGAGCGGCTGGTGAGTATCATGCATGGGAAGTGTTACATATTAATGTATTGTACAGTCACAGGTCAATAACTGCACTGTTACACTTTCCAGCTCTTCCAGAGGCATCGCCGGAAAATGATCAAACAGGTCAGTTATGAAGTTCCTGATCAAAGCTGCTTCGTGTTAAATGCTAATGTAACTTCTTTTATTTTATTATATTATAGTGTTTAATATATATAAATCATAACATCAAAATAAATTACTTTAGTATATAATAATTATTTAACATATATAATAATATAATAGTAATATAATAATTCTACATATATAGACTAACTGCAGACAATTATATTTTCTTGTGTTATTTTCAATAATTCTATGTTACGGTCAATCATGCTATGAATTGTATTTTATGCTTAAATGTTGAAATGTTGTTATATTAAGTTATATCATCTTTCAGTTATCATGGCATCAAAATAAAGTGATTTAATATAGTAATATAATAATTACATATATAGAGACTTTAATTAGAGACTCCACATTAACCACCAAACTCTATTTGTTCTCAGCCAAGAGTCACCTGGTCAAGAGGTCAACATCCTGTACCGGTAGATGGTCTGAGTTCAGCGGTCGCTGTTTCCACTACGTTCCAAGACCCATGACTTGGGCCAAAGCTGAGGTAATGAGTCAGTGCAGGATGCCGCTACAGTACGTTTATTCTGTCTGCATATACATGGACATTTGGTTTATTTCCTCTGTAGAAAAACTGCCTGACCATGGGTGGAAACCTTGCATCCGTTCACAACGAACTGGAGTACCATGAGCTTCAGAGGCTGATAATGAGCGCCAGTTATGAGTATAAAGAAACATGGATTGGAGGCTCTGACGCACAAGAGGTATTTTAGTTATGAGTGCAAATACTTCACACCAAATACCAAAAATATTAATACAATGCCACGAAAAATTATAATACATTTATGTATTATGTATTACTCACACTAAAATTATTATATTATATTTTCTTTACTTTATTGCTGTACTGTATATACTATTGTGTTACACTATGTCATTACATTTCACCTTATATTCTATTTTATAATCCATATTACATTTCTATTATATTTCCATATTAATATGAACAGCACTAATTATTATTACTTATGATCATATATTATATTATATTATACATTATTCTGGTGGACGCTGTTATAGAAGATGGTTTCATGTCACTCATACTTTGCTGCCAGTAATTACATCACTCTGTCATTTCACCCAGTGGGTGGAGGGTACTGTGCGTAAATAGCTTTTCTTGTCATTTCTTATTTAATTTCTCTCGTCTAGTTTTCTCCTTTTATGTAAATTTACTGATATCTACTTAAAATCTTTTAATTTCATGTTATATTCAATTTTGTCTGTGTCCTAGGAGAACCAGTGGTTCTGGAGCGATGGTACACCTTTCGACTACATGAACTGGTGTCCTGGAGAGCCTAATAACCACAGCGGCAGGCAGAGTTGCTTACAAATAAACCATGGAGGTAAGACAGCATAATGACAATGATACTTGGTTGAAATTTTCCAAATAACGAATGTCTATTTTATTGTTAAAATTCAAAATGATGAATGTCAGACAAACAGATCAGATAAAACAGACTGTGGTCTAGCAAAGAAGGTTGTTCTGAATCAGATAGTTTTTGATTTTATTAAATGATTTTACAGGTTCAGTGACCACAGTGTATCCATCAAGATAAATTAGAAACATCGGCTTGAGGTTTTGGTTTGTGTTGCATTTACTGACTCCTTCTTTTTGGTTCTTGCAGCTCAAAAGTGCTGGGATGACTATCATTGCCACTTTAAAAAACCATCGGTCTGTGTCAAGAAAATCTGAGGCTTCCTGTGCTGACACAGAGGCACGAAGGCATCTGTCTTTGTACCATCAGTCTCACATCGAGCAGACATTTCTTTATCTACTTTCATATCTTTATCGCTGTGACGCTGTTTAAGGAACGAAACGACAAGCCACATAAACTGGAGCTGGACTGTCTCTTGTGTCTTTAATAAGAGCAGATTGTGTTATGAAAAGAATGCTTTAAGCACAACCTAACCTATATTCTGCAGAGTGAACTGATATTTCTTTATGCAACAATAAAAGGCATTAGAACAAGTTGGTCTGTCATATATATTTTATTACAGTGTGGGTAAATATATTGCATCTCAAAGAAATATAACTATAACACTATATAATACTGTACACTACGGTCTGGAGTAATTATTGTGATGTCTATGCCACAAAGTAACGTGTGTGATGTGTTACCTTTCAGGTCAAAATACTAATAATGGTGTATTTATTTATGCAGCACTTCTATAAAACAAATGTTACAAAGTTCTAAGACAATAAAAGCTAGATACATGAACCAAAAGTAAAAACATTATTAATTAGCAATAATAAATATAACAGCAAAACAATAAAGTGATAAAACAACGTAATGTATATACGTCTGAACATGCACACGTAGCCTGCATGCTACACCATCCTAAATTTACACAGATCACTCGGGCCACCAACTGGTGCGGATCAAGGGAATCTTTGATTCCTCCAGAAGTCTCTGCCTAATAGAGCCAGTTTGTATTGGACTAGTCTTAATGTGACAAAGAGGACATTTGAAAGGGAGCAGTTTGACAGTGGTTCCTGTCTTAAGGGAGGTAGAAAATGTTTGAGAGCGCAGAACAATTATAAGAATATATTTGCTGTTTGTTCAAATAAATGCATCACAATAGTGGATTAAAGTCGTACTGTGGAGCAGGGTGTTGATTAGAAAGAGTCGTTATGCTCTTCATATAATAATTGCTGTCAGTGTTATCTTTATGGTCCCGTCTGCTCCGTGTCAAAGTTATCCCCCTGTAAAACCGAGGAACTGATCTAGAACAATAATGCTGTAATGTTCAAGGACCTTCACTGGCTGGAATAAATATCAGTAAAATCATATAGAAAATATATTAAATAACCCCCCCCCTAATAGTGTGTTTACATGCAGCTAAATAACTTGATGTCTTACTACCCCATTAATAGGAAGATAAAATAATTTATCTTTCATTTCACTCCACCCTATTCCGCATATACATGCAGCAGACCATCACATGTTGACACAATATTCCCCCACATAACCCTTTTACTGTGTGTTATCTCTGTGCGTGCTGTGTCCTGTTATCTTTACATTTTGTTGTGTCATTGTGTCAGATATAATGTTGATCAGCACCAGTTGGTGGCACTAGAGAGCAAAACTAAACAGTGACACACTTGCAAACAGTAAGATCAGCGTCCATTTAGAATGATACAGTATGCATTTAGATTGTGTAGGTTATGTTGTGGTATCTTGTTCAACCACTTTACTATTATATTTTTTCTTTTTCCATTTCTGTTTTGAGCTTTTATTGTTTAATTATTTATACTTTTAATAAATAAAATATTATAAAATAAACTATATTACTAGTATTTTGAACTTAGATGTGAGTAACAAATTATTTTGTGGGAGAGAAATTCCTTTAATTACCCAAAAACTAGTAATTATTATTATTATTATTATTATTATTATTATTATTATTATATAACATATAATATTATTCAGTGCTATATACCCACACTGTAATATAACATATATGACAGACCAACTTGTTCCAATGCCTTTTATTGTTAAAGATACAGAAATATCAGCTCACTCTGCAGAATATAGGTTAGGTTGTGCTTAAAGCATTCTTTTCATAACACATTCAATCTGCTCTTATTAAAGACACAAGAGACAGTCCAGCTCCAGTTTATGTTGCTTGTCGTTTCGTTCCTTAAACAGCATTACAGCGATAAAGCTATGAAAGTAGATAAAGAAACGTCAGCTCGGTGTGAGACTGATGGTACAAAGACAGATGCCTTCGTGCCTCTGTGTCAGCACAGGAAGCCTCAGATTTTCTTGGCACAGACAAACGGTCTTTTATAGGAGCACTGACAGTCATCCCAGCACTTCTGGTCTGCAAGTACAAAATGATAGGAATCAGTCAATGCAACACAAACCATAACCTCAAGTTGATGTTTCCAGTTTATCTTGACGGATGGTCAGGTGAGACCACTCAGTGGTCACTGATAATAAGATACAGATTATCTGATTCAGAAATGGCTTTTTTTCCTATAGAGAAGTGAGAGAGTCTGTCATATTGCGCTCTCCCTCCGATATTCATCATTTCATAATTGAATTCTTCTCTTTAAGCCCTACGGCATTTTACCTCCATGATTAATTTGCAAGCAACTCTGCCTGCCGCCCAGGTTATTAGGCTCTCCAGGACACCAGTTCACGTAGTTGAAGGGTGTACCATCGCTCCAGAACCACTGCTTCTCCTAGGAGACAGAACAGATTTGAATATGATATATATATATATAGAATTGAAGTAACCTATGATAGGAGTTAAGTAAAGGAAATAGAGAAAAGTAAAAGTAAATTATAATTGTGTGTATATAAATCAAAAGTAAGAATAGAAATAAAAACAAAAATTATACTAAAACAGTTAAGGTCAAAATGACAAGGCAACCTCTACACAGGACCAGTCTAAAGAGTCTGATCTGAAGCAACATACTGATGTTATTAGTAGCAATAAAGTCAGCAAAGTATGTAAGACTAATATGATACCATCATCTCCTATAACATTGCACATCAGAATAATACATATTCAAAGTAATCATACTTGGTGGTGTTTGTATTAATATTTAAAGAAAATATGGTCTACGTTATAAATGTACATAACAATAAAACATTATCACATTAACATAATGTATGGAATATAAAATGCAATATAAGGTAAAAGGCAGTAAAATTGTAGTTTAGTAGAGCAATATTGTATAATACAGTATAAAGTGAATATAGTATACTATGATATTTAAGAACTAAATATTGTATTTGTTATTTGTGGAATAATTGCAAGTTGTGCACTGATGAATAAAATACCTCTTGTGCGTCAGAGCCTCCGATCCATGTTATTTTATACTCATAACTGGCGCTCATTATCAGCCGCTGAATCTCATGGTACTCCAGTTCGGTGTGAACGGATGCAAGGTTTCCTCCCATGGACAGGCAGTTTTTCTACAGAGGAAATAAACCAAATGTCCATGTATATGCAGACAGAATAAACGTACTGTAGCGGCATCCTGCACTGACTCATTACCTCAGCTTTGGCCCAAGTCATGGGTCTTGGAACGTAGTGGAAACAGCGACCGTTGAACTCAGACCATCTACCGGTACAGGATGTTGACCTCTTGACCAGGTGACTCTTGGCTGAGAACAAATAGAGTTTGGTGGTTAATGTGGAGTCTCTAATTAAAGTCTCTATATATGTAATTATTATATTACTATATTAAATCACTTAATTTTGATGGTATGATTACTGAAAGATGATATAACTTAATATAACAACATTTCAACATTTAAGCATGAAATTTAATTCATAGCATGATTGACCGTAACATAGAATTATTGAAAATAACACAAGAAAATATAACATAACATTAAACAATATAAGACTATTTAACATAAAATGCATAATATTACTCATAACACGATTTAAAACATGACATAATGCAAGTAACAACACAACACCACATTATATAGGACAAAAAACATAGAAAAACACAATATAGCATATATACATTAGCATTTGAAAAATGACAAAAATGTGTTTTTTTAAAGGGAAAAACTTGAAATTTACACAGCTTGTAGGCGTAGTTATCACAGCAGAGCATCATAACGTACACTGACCTGTTTGATCACTCTCTGGTGATGCCTCTGGAAGAGCTGGAAAGTTTGACAGTGCAGTTATTGAACTGGACTGTACAATATCTTAATCTGTAACACTTAATATGTATAATACTCACCAGCAGTCAGAGCCATCACAGCACAAACAAGTGCAGACACAGTCAGAATCTTCATGGTGGAATGGATGAGATGATGATTACCTTTAATACAGAGAGACAGAAATGTTACTGATACTTCTGTAAGGAACAGACGACCCGTACTGACTGTCAGTCCAGTAAAGGAAAGTCAGGAGATGACAGGAGAGTTTGTTGCAAACCTGCTGTAGAATTACCTTTGTCTCGCCTTCACTTCAGCGTGGAAGCACTGAATAGAAGAGACACCAGCTCTTATATACAGCTACTTATGTTGTCATCTCTAAAAAAACAGGGAACTAAGAACTAAGAACTAACCTGCTCAGAAACAACATTGTCACACTTATGCTCAGTGAAGACATACTAGGTCAAACTATACTGGCAAGCTGTAGGAGTTTTAGTTCACTAGTGAATTTAATTATTCTACAGTTTCGATATTATTTGTAATAATCGTGAAAAAGTAATCCTTTCTTGTTATAGACCATCATTGCTTATAAAAACTCAACTGTGAGCCTTTCTATTTCCCTTCAGCTGCCTGACAGATTATTTTAATCTCTTTAACACTGTGATTGTTTAACTATTGAGATATTCTGTCAGTCAACCCTTTTTTAACCTGTAGTGGAACAAGGAGGACAAGGTATATTTCAACCATGTCATGTAAGAGAGTCATGGCTGTATGAGTCAGATTATTTCACAATATTGATTTAATCATATTGCTTCAGCCCCGCCATGTATGTTTCATTTTATTTTCCTATTTTAGTCTTTCTTAAAATTAGGCTGGCTTAAAAATGCACACATGTATGGTCAGAAATTAAAAAAATTCTTTCAAAGATAATTTTTTATAGACTTTTTTAGACACTAGCAGTCGAGAAGAGAAAGGAAATAAACCGTGAAACTCCGGAAATAAAGGTAAAATGGGAGAGAGAGAAAAACAAACAAGAAACACAAATAAAGAAAACGTGCATCCTTGTAAAAGGCAAACTGACTGCATATGTGCTGCAGTGGAGCCCAATATCTAAAATAAAATACTCAGCTGTTGATGGTGGTTTTTGTTATAATTTAAAAAAATCCCATTCACAAACTAGTTCACTAACTGTGTTTAGAAAGGCTCTTCATAGTTTTTTTATACTCTATTGTTCAGCATAAAACCAAGGAACAGAAGGCCTTCAAGGATGACTTGCAATATGCAAAACCTTCTTCACACGGTGACTAAGCATATCTCATGGAGCAGAGATAACATAGCTTCTGTTCTGAATTCATTTGCTAAATTGTTTTACTGGTTAATTTACTAAGATACTCTACTAGATATTAACATTACTGGTTAATTGATACCCATGAGTATATTCAGAGACCAAAAGTTTCTCACAGAAGACGTTTCTGTATTTAGGTTTGTGGAAGAGATAAACGATAATGCTGATGAAATACTTCCTCAGCTTCTAGTTTATACTTCCTCAAAATGGTGTGGGACACTGAAATGCAAAGGTCGTTGGTTAATTGATAGTCATGAGTATGTCTACAAGTTGTGTTCACAACATTAACAGCATATTCCTTTTACAATGCTTTTCTGGCTTTGTACCATCACACCTGTACAGAGACCAATCCCATACTCAATGTCCATATCTGAAACCTACAGAAAGAAGAATGGAAGAAGTACTGAACTGATCTGACATGAATAGGGAGACGTTGAAGTGAAGCTAAGAGTGGTATAATATGATCAGGATTTCCTGTTTTAGTTAAGACTTTTATGAGTATACGTCAGACCAGACAACAAAATATGAGAATAATTTAGTCTGAATTAAACAAAGGCATCAGTTCTCTGCTTAAGCCATGGATAGAATACACTTGTAATCTGAGAATGAGTACAGCTCATTGTCGTCAGCGTACAGTGGCACTGTGTTTTGTTAAAAAGATGTTGAAACAAAGAATTCAAAGCTTTGTATAATGTGCACACACTGACTCGATGGCAAGATGGCAGAAAATGTTTTCTTAAACTGCATTTGATGGGCTTGAGTCTCAGGTTTTTTTGAGGCACTAGAAAGAACAGGAGAGGATCTTTCTGCAAGTTTGTGCAAAACATATTTAACACTGTTCATATCATCGGTTTTGCTCTCTCGTCCAGCTGTGAACTGGGCTGTGTCTTGAGAAAGCGACTCACACTGACATAGCTAAGCTCAGAGTGCCCTCTGCTGACCTTTTTCATACATGAATGTTTTATGTAAAGAATGCTTTAAGCACAATATTACATATATTCTGCAGAATGAACTGATTTTTCTCTATGGAACAATAAAAGGCTTAAGCATTGGAAAAAGCTGGTCTGTCATAAATGTATCATGTCTGTTCATGCTCAGTAAATCGTACCATAAGTAAAAAAAGATTGAAAGAATTACCCACCTGGCCTGTTATCATATGATTCCTATTAATAAACCCAACCCTTCTCTGTAAATGTTAACAGAGCTGTAAAACTAGAGAACACATCCAAAAAGCTACAAGTCAACAGAGTTGTTAATAATAGATGGACATCATTGACACCATAACACCACAGTGTAGTGGTATGTCCAAGAATCACTACATTACTACTACTACACTCCAGAATAATCAAACTCTTGTTGTTTTGCTTTAATACCTGTAATGTAGAGCTAGCTGACAGTCTATGTTCCCAGGGTTGTATGTTCCCCAGATCAGTGCCCTCCTTATATGAATCTTTAAGGAGACCTTTCAAATGGTTTTATATAGTAGTCCTCTGTTTTTTACCTGTAGGGTAAATGTTCTATGTATGTCAACCTGGCTCGATAAAATATATATAAATATATGACCCACCTGCAGCTTAAAACACTATTGTGTAAAGTGTGTCATGTGTTATATTAAGTGAATTTAGAGCTAGGGAACATAGGACCTGGAGAACATATGAATGAGACCCTGTTGGGGACTGACTTATCCACTGCATAAGATACAGTTCAGAATGCTTAATTCTTCTGTTATATAATTTTAATATAGAATTCATTTTCTCTTGCAAATGCAAAAAACACTGTCAGAAAAATCTTTCAAATTAAGCTGAATGTAATCATTTAATATCTAATATGTTTTGGCTACTCCATCCATCCATCAATCCTCATTACTGTCTGGTCCTTTCAGACTAACAGGTGGCAGGCTGACATCCTTCACTCTTTTGCTGCCAAGAGGGATACACCTTTAAAGCAAACATTAAATTGTGCAATTTGATGTACCGACCATAATTTGATAAGCTTTTATAGAGGGCTAGCCATATGTTTTATAATTCACCAATAACTTGGAAAGGGTTCATGTATTTGTTTAAAACAAAGTATTTGTTTAACTCACTCTATATAAGAGCTGGACTTTCAGACTAGTGAAAAAGAAGAAGAGAAGAAGAAAATCCTCCTGTAGGTTTTGTATGTATGCTATTTTCTCATCTTCCTCTAATTGACTGGAGCCTCTCAGGCTCATCTCTTTCCATTTAAATTCTGTTCAGTAGTGATATTAAAAAATGTCTGTGTCTTTTTATTAAAGGTAATCATCTTCAACATCTGCATCATCTCTGCCTTGAAGATGCTGGCTGTGACCGTGCTAGTTTGTTCCATGATGGCGCTGAGTGAAGCTGCTGGTGAGTATTAATGGTGTGGTCTGTGAAAATACTTTTTATTACCTTATATTAATAACCGTCATAACCAGGATCTCTCCCTAACCTGTCTTTTATTTACTGTCTCTTAACTCGCTGTTTTTTGTTTGTCTTTTTGGTTGTCATTGTATTATAATTTGCTCTTGGACCTTACTTGTTCACTGTGTGATTTTGTAATGCCCTTTTTAACCTTGTTTTGAAAGGTTCTTACTTGAGTTTATCATTAAGCTCATTATTAATCACACCGCAGTTTCCACGTTCAGATATTAAAGAAAGAAACAGAATCTGTTTTGCAGAATTGTCCAATATCATTGTTTTTGTCTGGTAATTATAGGAATTCATTTGAACAACAGCAAATGTGTCACTAACAAACGGCTATAAAAATGTGTTTCAAACTGTCCAGCTCGTCCAGAAGCAGAGGCTGGAAATGTGATTGCACCTGTAATTCAAGAGGGTGAGTTCATTGTTTTAGTCTTAGATTTTTAAAAGAGGGTACACAGAGAGTGCAAACCTCCACCAAGGTCCACCATGGTTTCTATGGAGATGTTTGAGTATGTTAAGTCAGGGTCACTATTCACTTTAAACACGATTTGTTTGTGCATGTGCAACAATTCCTGCTTATTTTACAATAGACACAGGGTTTACAATTGACCGATCACGCAGTGTTAACAAAAGTGAAAAATAATTTGTGCATGGACCGGCATGACACGGACCTAAAAGTTGGACAAGTAGATCTTCCATAAATGGCACAGAAATCATAACTTTCTTTCTACTTTTATGATTTTAAATTTGTCCAATACTTTGTCCATGACTTCCATCAGTCTCAGCTGTACTTGGGTTCAGTGCTAGCTAGAAAATGTCAGCATGCTAACAAACCAAAGTAAGATGGTGACAATGATAGACATATTCTGCCGAACACCAACATGTTAGCATTTTCATTATGAGTATGTTAGCACACTGATGAATCCCAGAAATATGCCCCTTTTTTGTAAAATGTATCTTCAGGAAAGAGCCCCGTGGTCCAAAGGCTCACTTCCTGTCCCAGTGGTTGGACTGGTTACAAAGGCAGCTGTTTCCACTATATTCCAACTGCCATGACTTGGGCTAGAGCTGAGGTAATCAGGGTGATTAGATTCAGCGCAGAATGCTTCTACACAAGTTCTTATTGTTTTATTTCCTGATTTAGTGTCTCCTCTCTCACTGGTCATCTGCTTTCTTTGGTATCTGTAGAAAAACTGTCAGTCCATGGGGGCAAACCTTGCCTCAGTGCACAGCGCTGAGGAGTATCATGAACTCCAAAGGATGATAGTGTCAATCACTCATGCATATCGAGAAACATGGATTGGAGGATCTGATGCACAAGAGGTACATTTATCATTACACAAGGTCTGCCAGTTCTTAAATTAGTTCATTGATTGAATATTTTGATGTGTCGTCTAGGAGGGTGTTTGGTTGTGGAGTGATGGTTCATCTTTCAACTATCGGCACTGCGGAGGGTTTGATAACTGGGGAGGCAAGCAGCACTGTTTGCAAATGAATTATGGAGGTAAATCACAACATACTGTTTGCATGGAGAGCATTATGTATAGACAGTTGTCATGGAATTGTAGGTGTTCAAATTTCGATTTTTCTGACTACTGTACGTAAGAACAACTTAAGGATGTCATTCAGGAAATTTAAACACCAACATTTCTTTGATAACTCTGCAAACTCCATCTAGTGAGGAAGATTAAGATCAACTGCTACTACAGGATTGTGTGGTGAGACTGAATGAACTTTCAGTGTCAAACATTGGATAAACTATGTGTCAGTCCCACAAACCCTGATGATTTTTAGGAAGTACTGGTGTATTTGTGATTCATATCTGATTATCGGTCCACTATGTTGTTTCACCTAACTATATCCGTCAAGATAAAGTGGACACATGAGAATGAGGTTTTGTGTCCATTGACTCCCTTTTTTTTACTTTTTTTACGGATTTCCAGGTCAAAAGTGCTGGGATGACTGTCAGTGCTCCTATAAAAGACCATTTGTCTGTGCCAAAAAAATCTGAGGATTCCTGTGCTGACACAGAGCCACGAAGACATCTGTCTTTGTACCATCAGTCTCACATCGAGCTGATGTTTCTTTATTTACTTTCATAGCTTTAACGCTGTAACACTGTTTAAGGAACGAAGCGACAAGCAACATAAACTGGAGCTGGACTGTCTCTTGTGTCTTTAATGAGAGCAGATTGTGTTATGAAAAGAATGCTTTAAGCACAACCTTACATATATTCTGCAGAGTGAACTGATATTTCTTTATGCAACAATAAAAGGCATTGGAACAAGTTGGTCTGTCATAAATATTTTATTACAGTGTGGTTAAATATATTGCATCTCAAAGGGCTCTGACTATAACACTGAATGATATTTCATTGCATGAAAACTTATAAAAGGAATGATTTTAGCACAAATGTATTTATTATTTTACTCCAAGGAAGTGACTGTGATCTGTGCATGAATGTCACATACAACCCACATTCCTACACAGAAGCACATATATCAGTGCACAGGCAACCAATAAAGTTGGGGAAGATCTCATTATTTTAAGTTACATTACAACCCATTCATTTATTGTGATTAATAAATAAATATATGCTTCTGAATCGTACATATAGCAAGTTTGATGTTTCGCCATAACACAGGAAGTTGTGTGTATACATGGTCAAATCTGCCCCAATTGTATGAGAACAGTCCAATATACAGTCAAAGTCACGACGCCACCTACTGGGAACAGGAAGTAAGCATCGTATGACAACTAGGATTTAGTTTACATGAAAATTTCAGTGTGGTCACTTAACTTATGCCGTGTCCAAAATCTGTGAAAAAAAAAACCCAGTGCATTGACCAACCTCCGGTGACCACACTGCGGCACACTCTGACAGCTGGCGAAGGGCTTCTATGCAGGTCGCTGTCCAGGTGAACATCATCTCTTATAACAGCTGATAGTGTAATGTAACTGATTATACAGTCCATTTCCATGACTGTCCTCCTGATTTGACCAGTCATGACCTTGACAGTTATATTATTAATCTATACATGTTCCCTACCCCTGACACTGCTAAATTTGTTTTGTTTTCACCGGGAGACTCAGATGTCAGCAGGACTTAATGTGTTTTTTACTAATGAGGGAGATTATAGTCACACATATAGCAATACATTGAGTTAGCAATAGTTGATTATGCTAAAGATTGCTCGTGAACGCACACATACTCCTGAACAGGTGGCCAGGTCATAAAGTTGAAATGAGGAATGTGTCTGCATGAGGCCTATTATGTCTGAACAAGACCAAACCAAGAAGTGTGAAACCACAAGAATATTATGTTGAATGCTGACATTGGGTTTAATAAACCACTGTTACTCCTGATGCCACTGCATGTGATGTATTCTGGGGTGTATTTTTTTCCAGAGTGGGGATTTTGGATTGATGCATTATGTTCGTGTGTGTCAAGAATATGTGATCATCAGCAGCTGACATTTTCAATCAGTATCGATGTAGTGAACTAATCATCTGACCAGTCTGTGTGATGACACTGTAAAAACACAAGCTTTTAAATGTACTGCCATAAATGTTTCAGCAGTCATTTTCCAATGTCCTGCTTTATTTGTGTCTGTGTTTAGAAATATGTGATGAAAACCAATTCCAACAATAAATTGATTTTACTGTGCCTACTGATATAAAAAATTAATTCGTTTTTTAATGCCTGTGTTTTATTTGTTCATTCAATAGAATGTCATCCATTATGAATATATATATTCTTGTCAATGATACATTTACAAAATGTAAAGACACTTTACATTGGTCCATACAATATCAGCAAAACAAGGTCATGATTAAAAAATACTAATTTAAAAAATGAAAGCAAGAGAGATACTCTCACAGAAGAGTCAAGGAGACAAGTCTCAGCGTGAGGGACCAGAGTCTTGACGAGGCTCATGCCATGGAGAGAAAGCCCTAGAGGGTTGAGGCTTAGTAGGTTTTTCCTGCTGCAGCTTTAATAACTCAATGCAGTGTTAATGAGCACTGGAATTTAACTCAATCAGATAGCAATCAATAATATTTTAGTATTATCTCACATATATGAAAAATATCCACTGTTTTGGGTTTACAAATCTGACTTTCCGGTAGGTAGCTGGGAGTGGTTGGAAAAGTCAACTATATCTGGTAATAGGAAACATATCCTTGGCATCACTATGGTATAGTCCAAGACCCCCACCCTTATTGGATATTTCCATAGTTTTTCATGCTCTATTGCTAGTCAGCTCCATAGGAGACTTAACATGGCAAGCTTTGCTCTCCGATCTTGCCCCATATGGCCTTATCAGAGGGAGGACGCACTTTAAGTGACAAAGTGTGGCAGTCTCCTAGTATTCTAACAGCTGGTCAGATCTTCAGCAATAAAATTGTGTAAAAAAATTAACTCAAAAATGTTCAGTGTCAATGTCTGTTCAGCTCAGTAGCATGATCTCAACATTTCCTTAACCATCTCCCCGTGGAATGTAATTTGAAAGTCAGCTCTGAGCTCATCTAAATGCGTGAGATATAGGATTATACAATACAAGATTCTGAATAGAGCATGTATCACCATTGTTAGAATATCAAAGATGGATGACAAGCACCAAGGTTCATCTTGGCATAATTGTGGTTAACAAGGCACATTACTCCATCAACTTTAGGATTGTCCAGCTGTCAAAACACTATGGACGAAAGCGATATCCCTCATGTCAGAAATGTTTAATGTTGAATTCCCAATATGTCCCACAGCCTGCCTGCTGGGTCAAATACTCTGCTCTGTAAGCAGAGTGCCCAGAGCATTGGGTTGCTTTTCTTAGGACTCATGGCTGGAGGAATATTTGGTTGGGACATGGAGCGTTGTTCACAAGTCACAAGTCCATTCATAAACATACAGAAATGTTTTGGGTGTCACCCTTGCATCCTTGTCAACCCTGGTTTTTCAACAACTGGTTGCTGGTGCCTTTATATTTCTATCGCCCCTGCTGCAGTAAATGCATCAGCATTGGTGGTTGAATTATTCTCTGCCTTTCATCTTCCCGGTTTCTCCTGACGCCTGTGTGCCAACAGAAAAAGAGATCTGTTCAAATTTGTTGTGTTCGTGTAGTTTTTCCCGCACTGCAGTGAGAATACTAACAATTGCATTGAATAGTCTAATCAAATTTGGTTATACATGCTAACAACAATTTATTCCAATATATACTCTTCCGCTCACACTTGTGGTAGTGTCACATTTGTACTGCCTGTACCACACATCCCATTCTGTTTTACACTGTTTTACAAGTATTATTTAATATTAACTCATCAACATATATGATCTATTGATCCTTTGGAAGTTAAGTGTTAATGTATCACCACGGCAAATAAAGCACTGAGTAACTTGAAATAAGAAAAGGAAAATTATTATGTGACTTACATTTTATCAGTGAGATAGTAATGACCAATAGCACCAATAACAAAACACCAGGGATGATCCAAATCCAATAAGAAGAGGACTGAACCAGTGCTGAAATGATACAACAGAAGGACATTTTTAATCATAATACCTCAACAACTAACAAAGAGACAATAATGTAACTCCTTATAACCTGGAACATAGATGTGTGTCTCTCTGGTCTGGTTGATGTCCTTCTGTTGGACTCTACAGGTGAAGTTGTTGCTGTGTCTCTTCTCCACAGTCACTCTGCTGCTGACAGTATAGAGGTCATCAGGACCTCTGACTGTCTCTGTAGGTCCAGCAGAGAGGAGGTTTCCCTCACCGTCCAGCCAGACCACCTCAGGCTCTGGATACCAGCCTTTAGACTCACACTGTAGAACTACATTTTCACTGTTACTGGAGACAACCTCTATGATGGGAGTGGAAGCAGCACCTGATGGGAAGAGAGAAAGACAGCGTTTTGGAGTATTGAATTATGTAGTTAAAGGTATTAAGTGGTGGCTTGCTGGTAAGTTCAACTACATTTATGTTTGCATATTGATTGAAACTACTAATAGCTGACTGGACACACACACACAAAGGTCACTCAACAATGATAAAATGTGGTAAGAGTTAGGTACAACTACTACACTGTTAAATTGAATAATGGGGGATACCTACTCTGCATATCAACATCATCGGATGGAGAATGAGTGTATGTGTGCCTGGGTGAGTGAGTATCCATCATGTTCAGAAAATAAGAGCATCCTCTTTTTTGGATCATTTTAAACTATATCAGAAGAGACTTTTTCCACCAATATATTTTAAACCCTTGCAAACATGTTGAATGTATTTCATCAAACATTTGCAATCATCACCATAAACTGTTACATGGAATTTAAATGCAACCTATTGAGTTTTTTGTTGTTGTTTTTTTTAACCTCTTAGTGCTGTAAAGCAATGTTTTTATCAGTAGGTCTCTGTTTGCTTTATGTTTGCTTTATCTGGTGACACGACAAAACAATGATTGCACATTGCAATGTGCCAAGAAACACAGTGATGGACCAGCAAAGGCAGGAAGAAGACTATAGTACCGTTATCATGACTATACCTATACCTGTTTTTTTTTCCAGTCAGAGTTGATTTTACTCTGACTTCATGTTTCATCGTGGCTCCTTACTTTTAATACAAAGTTGCATTGCCTTTGGATGAAATGTGTAATTCATCATCCTGTTTATGCCATATAGTAAGACATATGATACTAATAAAGTATTTAAATATGAATAATAATAATATTAGTCTTAAAAACAGCTCACAGCGGACTTACCAACAGTGAGTTTGATTGAAACCGCCCACACTACTGATTGAACAAAGCAAAAGTATTTTCCTCCATCAGAGATTTTCACTCTGGAGAGTTTCAGGGAGACGTTTCCATGTTTCAGCTCTTCCTCAAACAGAGCTGTTCGGTTAAAATAAAGTAGATTTTGTGACGAACAGACCGGCTGTCCATCTTTCTGAACATGGATGTACTTTGGGTCTAAATCCGGTCTGGTCCACACCACTGTCTGAGAGCTGGCACTGTTGGCAGGTACAAGGGAACATGATAGAATGACATCATCACCAGCCAGGGCTACGATGCCTTTATCTGCAATCAACCTTGACTTTGCTGAAAGGGAACCTAAGAAAAAGCAAATTACAGTTAGACAGTAATGATTGATTTATTCATGATTAATTTAAGCCTGTGTTAAAACTGTTAAACTTTTGTTCAGAAATGTTGCATTAAATGTAGACGTTATTGCATATTCAAGCCGAGAAGAGCTGTGTGTCGTTTTAATGCTGTTAGTTTCAAATGGGGATGT